CAGTCTTGATGCTAACCGAAAAACTGGGTTATTTTTTTTTAAATGAGCAAATGCATGTTTATTACTCAGAGTAGCAGCTACTAAATGGCAGTACTCAGTATGTGTGAGCTATATTTTCAGGATTGCAGATAATAGAAAACCTGCAACCAAAAGCTTCCATGAGTGAAGGTCTTCTCTCAGAAAATAGAATCTGGAAATAGAATCTGGCCTATGAAAGGGCCTCCAGGAAGTCGTTAAAGATAGGGGCTCTTCCGGCTTCCTGTCCCGTCATCCTTAACGGCTACAACGTGGCTGCTGCATCTCCAGGCATCACATACACATTTCAGATAGGAGAGGAACAATGACAAAAAAGGAAAGCCTTCTCTTATTGAGGTTTTGCTCTTCTTTGGTAACTCCCTCCTCTCCCTCCTCAAGCATTTCTACCCGCCTCTCATTAGATGCCCAGCAAGCTGGAGAAGCAAGTGTTTATTTGGATACATTGCCAACCTGAAAAAGTGGGGTTGCGTTCATCAGGACAAATGGATTGTGTATTGTATAGGTATCGAGCAACATCTGCCCAGACTAGTAAAACCTCAACTAAAAAGCAAACCTCAGGAAATAAGAGGTGGAGGAGGAGCTGAGCTGAGTGGGGGAAAGATGAGAAAAGAAAATACTGGACTTACTAAAATTATTTCAGCTTGTGTGTTCTCATCTTTCTCTCTCTCCAGCGGCCATCTCACTCTGGGCACTAATTATTTCTCACCCACGTGGTCTCCTTTAATAGGAACCTGCCGCTGCTTTTCTCCATGAAAACTATTAGGACACTTCCCTGTTTTAGGGAAATATGCAAACTTTTAGTCAGTATTCATTGCCTTCTAGAGTCTGATCCCTTTCTACTCATGTCTGCTTCCTCCCATTTCTCCTCTGCATGAATTGTGGGCTTCAGCCAAGTTGTTCTCACATTCCCTTGATAGAAATTGTGCTTTTCTGCCACCGTGGTGCTGGCTGAGGCTAGGGATGGATCAGGGCTGTTGGAGTTGCCTATTTTTCTCTGGGAAGAAAAGTAAAGGCTAAAAGAAAAGGGGAAACAAATCACAGTGTCATAATTTGCAGAAAACATGAGATTGTGTATGTAGAAAATCTAAAAGAATCCACAACCTGTTAGTATCAAATCAATGTAGCAAAGTTTCTGTGTACAATATCAGTGTTCAAAAATCAACTGTATTTTCACACACCAGCAACATATAGAAAACAAGTAAAACAATGCATCTGCATTAGCATAAATAAACATCAAATACCTAAGAATAAATCCAACAAAAATACATGTAAGATCTCTACAAATCATTACTACAAAACATTACCTGAAAAAAAAATTAAAGAAAACCCCAAGAAATGTAGGGATCTACCATGTTCCTGGATCAGATCACCAGTCTTATAAGATGTCCATTGTATGCAGTTGATCATTGACTTAATACAATCCCAATCTCAGTCTCAGGTTTTTAACCTCTAAAATCTGGCAAGCTGATTCTAAAACTTGTATGCAAGTGAAAGCGCCAAAAATAGCCTAGGCTATTTACAGAAAAAGAATAAGCTGGAGGATTTGCACAATCGAATTTCATAGCCTTTTATGACAGGTTTGCACATAAGACCTAAGTATTGGTACAAGAATAAACAAACTAACCCATGGAACTAGATAAAGAATTCACAAATAGCTATGTTTCTCACCTGATTTATGACAAAGACGATGCTGAAGGAGCAGTGAAGAAAGGATGGTATTTTTAACATATAGTGCTGGGTCAATTCATTATTCACACAGGAAAAAAAACAGATCTTGATATCTTCCTCACACCATACAGAAAATCGATTTCATACTAATACCAAATTTTTTTAAAGAATTATTTATTTATTTTGTTATTGTTGTTATTTTAAATTTAACCAGAGAGAGATGGAGAGTGAAAGGGAAAGCGAGAAAGCAAGACTCCAAGTCCGGGACTCAAACGCAGTCAACCACGTGGGAGCCCAGCACCTTAACCACCATGCCACCTGCTGGCCCCCAGATTGCACTTTTAAAGGTAAAAGCTAAAACAGTTAAGACTTCATAGAAAACAATGTGACTTCAGAGTAGGCAAAGATGCCCCATAAAGATAGATACATAAAAGCCCTAAGTGAAGAAGAAAAAGTGAGGAAATTGGACTATATTAAAATTATAAATATTTACATTTACAAAATGAAAAAATTCATCTCACAAAATGAGAGAAGATATTTGCAATATATAGTCCATCCACGGACTAGTATCCAGAATAAGGAATTAATACAGATCATCAGAAAAAGTCAGAAGTTGAGGGATCAGCCTTTGGCATAATGGTTATGTCACTGGACTTCCATGTAGTTGACTGCAGTTCAAGTTCCAGACCCAGTGGCTTAAACTCATGCTGGGCACATGTGCATGTGTGCCAAAGATCTCAAGAGAAGAATGGAGGAGAAGGGATTGTGGTATGGCTATCCCCATGGGGGGTGATTTCTTGCTTTCCATCTCTCTGTCTCTCTGTCTTTCTGGTGAGTGCACACACCCTATAGG